TTTTTTTTTTTGCTTCGAAATGATTCAAAAATTTTTTTTCTTTCTCTGGTTCAAAATTTCTTTTAATTTTTTGATAATTTTAAATTTCCACTGTTTACATGCTTATTTGTATTACAGAATGGTATAGAAACAAATGCTACAACGTCCACACGTTCTCCAATAAAAAATTTAGTTGATATAAATTCTCACATCCAGATGGACAAACTCATTACCGCGATAGGCTGGGAATATCTTCGCACTAAAGCTCTCGTTCTAGAAGATGGTGGACAAGATCTCATTCAACGTCAAAAAGGATTTCAATACATCAATCCCACCGAGGATTGGTTCCCAGGTAAATTATAGAAATAAGAAAATATGTCAACCTTTTCGTTTCATATATTTAATCATTCTCATGCCGATAATATTTATTAAATTGTTTACCATATATGACGGTTCGTGACACTTGAAAGGGATCAAGTGACAGTGCGAGTTTATATTCTGATAATTACTGTTTTCAGGATTGGACAAATTAATAAGCGAATTTCGTTCCTGGGAATGGAATTACGGTAAAACACCGAATTTCACGGTAACACGTATTGTAGATGTGCCTACTGAAGACAACAAAGTCCATCGATTCAATTTGGCGTTAGAAATTCAGAACGGCATCATTGAAGAAATTAAGATGAAATTGCCAGCCGATTTGGTATCGAGAGATTTTAATGAAGACGTGAGCGTGATAACTAATTTACGTAGTTCGAGATACGATCACGAAGTAATGGAAAATATAATAACTGCGATCGGTTGTAAGACTGTAACACTAAACACGAGTCAAAATGTAGATAAAAGTAATATGATTGCTACGCAATGATTAAAACCCGACGAACAATCATAATGATTGTACTTAAATTGTCGTTGTATTCAAAACGAGAATCATATATTTTATAGTAAATTGCATTATTAGCATAAGTTTGTATTTTATATAGTTTCACTGAAAGATTGATTCTTTCCAATGTAATATATTGTAACATAAATGATAAAACAGGAAAAAAAAAGATAAGATTATGTACTCTTCGACTTTATATTTTTGCATTATTAATATATATATACGTATTTACTTGTGTATTCTTCTTGTTAATAAATATTATTCTTGTTAATGAAAGATATATACGCATATGTATTCGTGATTAGCTATTAATTTACTGAATTAGCCAATTAATTTACTGAATTTATTTTCATTCAACTTTATTTATACAAATAATTCGTTAATTTAATTATCATTATTAAACGATAACCTTATTATCAACATTAATGCAAAATGCACAGCAACGACTGTATTAAACAAAGTTACATGAAGAATATATAACACACAAAATTAATTAAAATATTATTGGATGATAACCTCGTTATCAAAGTTAATACAGAATGCATAACAACAAATATATGGACATATAAATCATTCTTGAACAAAGTTGCATGAAGAATATATAACGTATAAAAGAAATTGGAACTTGAACAAATACAGTAATTACATTTCCAATAAATAACACAGTAAATACATTTCCAATTGTTTCAGTTGCGTTGCATCAATAAGGTATCTTCTAACGTATACTTGCCTCTGTATCTTCTGATATATCCGTATATCCGTTAGCATCGTTATTTAAATTTGAAATTCTCGATGAATAACGATAGAGGCTTGGTTGTAGCATAACATCCCGATAAGCCGGCGGAGGAGTACTTGGGTAAAGTTCTGACAAGCTTCCATCGCTATCCATACGCCCTTGCAAGTACGAATTCACCAAAGACAATTGAGAGATTACTAATCCTTCACGCATAGATCTCTGGTTACACCAACATATTCTCGATAACCAAATGTAAGAAATAACTAGTCCGCTCAAAATACCAAGTACAAAGCCAAGAGTAAGGAACCAATATGCTACAGATTTATCTTCCGAGTAGGTGACAAGCGTTGGATTTGCGGTTTCTTGACACGTTGACAGATTTTTGTCGTTTAGTATATTAGACTCCATTTCGATTCGATTTGATCGTTGCTTAGTTTCCTTGGGATTTGCAATTTCCGAGTGATGGTGATTGCGCGATATTGTATCGATCGTATCGAGAACGATCATCTTTTCAAACTTTCGTACGTTCCCTTTCTTGCTGCAAATTTCGTCGAACTCGATGACTTTATTTCTGAGATACATTTGTAGATCGAGCATAACTTTGTTGCAAGACCACGGATTTCTGGAAAATATACAATTTCATTCATGTTTTGTTTTGTAAATTTCTGCACATGTGTCGAAGTGAACACCACTGAATGATAAAAGTAAAAAGCGATAGAAAACTCTAGAAAAGAGAAATTAAATTCTTATTCGAAATAATGGTTCTGAAAATATCTTGACAATCCTTTACCCTTTCAATGACAATTTCCTCAAAAAATGCAGCGTTTGCACGGCAACGGTGTTCATCTGAATCATCAAATTATTTGCAAGATCGAGACGACGAAGGTGCTCGAGTCCGTTGAACGTGTCTAGAGGTAAATGACTAATTTGACATGAATCCAGACTTAGCTCCTACATCAAAATTTACTTCACTTTATTAAAAATGAAATTTTTGTGGAAGATAATAATACATGCCTTAATTGAAAGTTCTCGTTAACAATAAATAAATATTGATACATATAAATAAATATTGATACGTCTGTTGGTACCATTAACGAAGAGGATCGTAACTTCGGTATGTGCGACTTGAAATTATTTTTCGACAATCTCAATATTCGTAGATTCTTATTTCTCTCAAAGACTTCTGCAGAAATGTCATCAAGCCTATTCCGTGATAAATCCAAGACCATTAAATCTGTTAGTTCGTCGAAAGCATTCAGATCAATTTCGCTGATTGCATTTTTAGAAAGATTGAGGTATTTCAGTCTCGTGAATCCAATATTCTAAAACAAGAGTTTTTCATTTAATTATTCATGTTACTTTAGTGAAATTACTGTTTAAATTAATATTAAAATAAAATTTATATTTGATTACAATATAAATATATATATATAAAATCATTAAGGATTGAGAGATTTTGTACTTATAAAATTAATATTAGTATATCCTGTACTTATTATTAATACATCTTAAATTAGGAAATTAAATTTAATTTATTGAAAATAGATTGTGTGAATTTCCTGAATTGTAGTAAATATTCGAAATAATTCATTAATTAATAATTCAATTGAAAATAATTCCTGAAAATTCGTAAATGAAATTGGGAAGTTACCATCATAAACTGAGTTTTCCCTACGATCTATATTTCAATCAATAATAACTGTTAAATTTATGATGCCCACATGATTTAAATTTTAAATGTAGTATACTCCGACAATTGAGCAGAATTTAAATTTTTATATCCAAGGAAAGAAAGCTGAGAACTTAAGATAGTGAAATTACAAAAGCTCGTCAATTAATTAATTTTGTTTGCAAACAAACATTTAGCCAATTTATGGACACTGAAATGCTAGCGCCACGTAGCGGTGAAATGGTGGAATTAAAGTTTATTACTGTTCTTGTCTGTATAATAATGCTCCTTGTCTACAGCGGGTGCTGCCATCTTTCAGTTCCGATTGGAACTAAATTGAAAAATTTGACAGATGGCAGCACGTATTTCTTTTCTTCGTGAATTCGTAGCGAAGAGAGCAACGATGTACGACAAGGATAGACATTCTCATGTAATATGAGAAACAAGAATCGCACTAGTGTGCGTCAAAGACAGCAATAGTATTTAGTTCCATCATTTCACCGCTACGCGACGCTAGCATTTCAATATCCATAAATTGATCAAATCTTTATTTGCAAAAAAAACTAGTTAAGGATATCAATTTGTGAACTTTTGCGATTGTATTAAGGGAATTAAACCCTCAGCTATTTATCTAAACTCCATTTCACCTAGAAAGAGTATGAATAAAGATTTACAAATTCTGCTCAATAGATCGAAGCACCCGTTCAATTACTATTTGAATAAATGAGTCAAATTTTCATTTACGAAAAAGACTAAGCAACAGAATTAATCTTGCAGTCTTTTGTATTTCTCTGATATTCCAATTTTCTATCTCTTTGTATATTTAATCACGTATAATCGCTGAAATAAACTTATAATTAATTTTTAATTATAATAAATTTCTGTCTTTTTGATCGAAAAAATTGCGAGATGAAAGTCTATGTATAATTTTTAGACAGTGAAAGTAACTTTTTCGAAAAATTATTATTTAAGAAGTTTAAAGGTTCTAGAATAAAAGTGGGAGAAGATTATATTCGTTAAATCCGTAAGAAAATTATTATGCTGTCACTGCAGTGTACTAAAGTGTGTAATTATGGCTTTCACAGTATATAGAATTCCACACTTCAGTTACACGATTATATGACATCTGTATCTTTTATATCTCGTTTATGATTTCACAGGAAAATTTATTTTTAATTCAAGCCATAGTTGTTATATTAAATCAAAAAGGTCGTGTGTGACATAGAAATAAGAGTGGGAGGTGAATCTCTCCCCCCCCTCTCAGCACCACGTGACACGAAAAAGCATTGAATGTCAAGTTTATTTTATCCCTGGTCGACGGTGTAGGTAATACGATTACAGAATAAATAAAAGTAATTTCGTAAATTCGAACATACCGCTAACTCGAAACTGGTTAAAACTGATATCACGTTATCCGATAAGTCCAGTGCCTGCACATTGTCCGGCGCACCTGTATGTATGTTGTAAAGATGGCGGCCCACGCAAGAAGCGCGTTCTAAATCGTACCAAGTGTCACACACGCAAAATTGGGAGCATTGTTGCGTCAAAGCGGCGATTCCGGAAGAAAATAACATCGAGACGAGTGAAATGATCAAATGGACGACAGTACCATTGATCATGGTACTGAACCTTGACGACGAGCTTCCCACAGATCCGTAAAAACCGGTTACCGTAGCTAACAATTTTCGAACGTACGACAAAACCACTTCTGATACAGATTGTTGCGTTCTCATGCTTCGCTAATGTAATCTTATCTTGAAGCGTGATTGTGTGGATATCGCAGAGACGTGTTAACGATCGAGATACGTCATCGTGTAAAGTCTCGGTGGTTTTCTTTACCAGTTTCACTAAACTCCTCAAGGCAGGGACAATGTGTTTTCTCGGTACGAGGAGAGATATGAGATAATACGAAACAAGAGATTAAGATTGTGTTCATAGAATCACCAAAAATCCCCAAAGTTTGAGGCTCAAACAATTTGCGAGGACAATTGTTCAACTGCGACATTCCTTCCAGAAATTTCAACGGCTGTTTTCAACTCTTAGGTATTTCTGAATCATTGGGGAACATAATTTAAGATTAGCTAACGTCATTGTAGAATTTTTAATTTAATTTCACTGAATTTTATTATCAATCTCCATCACGAAGAATATAAAATGCAAAAAACGAAGTAGCTTAACTTTCATTTTAGTACCTCAAATGAGGTTATTTAATGATGTTATTTAAGAATTTATATTGATAAAAATATTACTTAAGGCTGTCTATTATTATGATCTGTGTAACGTTTAAAATGAGAATGTAATGTGAATATCTTTATTGCTGGTGCAATTCTTATAAATAAACTTCTTGTAAAAATATTACAAAAAACTACAGTTAAAAGTTAGATATTGTTTATCATATGTTATTCATCATTTTGTGTGAAATATTTTCAGTTGGTACGTTCATAAGCAAGTTTGGAACACGAAGGGTAACTCTTCAAAAAATAACTTAACCACAAACCAAAACCGATGACCGTGGTAAACTTTGTGAGTGTCAATAGAAAATAGAAATAGGAGCGAATTTTATTTTTAGAAGTTACTTTTAAAACGTGACGAATCTTTGTGTATTTTACAAGTGTTGGTTTTATATAAAGGGAATTGCAGCATTTATATTATTAAAAACTTTCATAGACTTAGGAAAAGGAAACAATGTACTTGCATTCTTTGTTGTTGCGAAGATAATTCAATGAATTTCTTCAAATTGATGCTCACGACACAGTTAATTCAGCAATTAAAATGCAAATTCTTTTTATCTACGTCGTTGCACGCTTCTCCGTCAAAACGTATGCAATTTATGTGTGTATTTAAATAAGGCATTAAGATTGAACAATTTTGTTTCAATAAGAACGTAAGTCTAACATATATACATTTAAATACATAGTTTAACGGATATACATTATACATTATTGAAAATATATATACAAATAATTAGCAATGATAATAAAAAGTAATGTACAAATAAAAGGCAATGATAATAAAAGCAAGCAACGTCAAATACTAAGATTTATATTGTTACAAAACCAAAACACGGTTGCATTAAAAGACAATTAAATCGTGATTTACTTTTCCTCGTAGCTTCTCCACGGTCGGCATAGTGAAAGTGCGTTGTAAACCGCTCGATATTCGTTCAACAATTCTTCAAAACTGTTGAAAATCTTTCGTAAAAATTCCGCGCGCCGTACGAAGCGAGTGTGTGTGCATTCGTTTCGAAATACACCGTGTGGAAAGTGTTCCCATGCGAACACCGAAACGTGGATAGCGTTAAACTAAGGTGATTAATATAACACAAAGATGACTAAGTATCCATTACACTGACAGAAGTAAGAAGTAACGTTACAGCGCACGTACACGCTGGACGTAATCAAGCCGCTTTATACGACGGAAAGGAACGGGAACCGGTGACAATTAAATGTTATACTCACTAGCCCTTGGCATCTTCTCCTGGGAGCCAAACGAGGGGTAGCATTCAGTGAGCTAACAGCGAAGCGTTTATTGCGCAACGTCCACGGAAATAAATCTAGGATAGGCTGCTGAGAACGCGTGTGGACCGCTGCCTTCTATTCGGCCTTACCATCCCTCCCCACTGCCCCTTGCATCTTCCGGCCATTTTCATTGCTCGTCTTCCACGCCGCCATGACAAGCATACCGTATGGCACTGCAACCAACTGTCTCACCTTACCGACCAAGCCAAAGATTCGATCGATCTATCGATACAACCGCGTCCGTTTTTAACAGAAGAACCGCTGGCCAAATAACGAAACTTTGAAGCTTACTAGGGATACACGCGAAACATCACGGTCATTTGCCGGTTTTCGAAAGCTGTTATGCATCGGACAACTGGGAGAATGCATGCATGCGTGCATCGTTGCCGTCGCAGACTATCCACTCCATCGTATTTCGTCACTGGCGCCCTCAGCTGACACGAAATTGCTAATTTGACATTGTTGCGGACAAACGTTGAATACACTGTGGTTTTTCATCGCCAGGGAGGGATATCATGTAGGAGACAAGTAGGAAAAGTTGTGAAATTTCGAATTTATCATCGAATTTGAACTCGTATGTTTTTATTTAGTTTTACACACGTGACAGACAAATTGTTTAAATAAATAAATTGATATTGATGTCTGCTCGCGATACGCAGTGACACGCTTTGAAAGCAGTTTTGTAAGCTAAGGTTCTCTCAGGAGGACACATTCTCCGAGGCTTCGAAAGCCACGCGAAAGATATTTCACTCGGCGTGTGTCGTCACCGACCTTCTCAGCTGACGCAAAATGGCTGCCTTCTACTGACAGCTGAACCATAAACACGGTTTTTCTCTGCTAAAACGACTTCTGCTGCGGCGAGACGCGCAGACATTCTTTTCGTGCAGGCGACGCTTTCGTGGGAAGTAAGAATTTCGAAGGAACTCGTGGTAATTTCATTAAAAAAATGTCGCAGTATGGTATACGAGCGGCAGTGGGAATGTCTTACGGAGCAAAGCTCATTGGCGCGGGTTCTGCGCACATCGGCAGACTGAACACTCGCTCGGATTTCGTCACAGGCGTTCTCAGCTGACGACAAAATGACCGTTTTGTGCATTTAACTACCAGCTGATTGCAAAACTATCGCTCATGAAAGTCATGGAAACTGGACGTCTCTCGTTATAATATGAACTTGAGGGTCGGTACGGTAGAGTGAGTAAGTCAATGGCGTAGTGAATTTCGTACGGAACCGTACACGACGGCCGACGTGGTTTGCGCGCGGTGGGAAACAGGGACGCCAGAAGGGACGCCGAGTACAGGCGTACGAAAAGAGGAGAGGGCTGAGAAAGTGGAGGGTCTTGACAAGCCAAGTGCTTTGGCTAGGGTTCTAGTCTGCGATTTTTTCCCGTTCTTCTGGTTGTCCGGGCGGACGGCCAATAGGAGTAAGTAGGTCAGCGCGCGCGTCCAATCGGTGCTCGAGGCCGGGTCACGTGGGTTTGTTGTTATCTATCAGCTGTTTTTCCCGGGCGGGCGGGCGGCCGGCCGGCGCAGTGAAAGCCGCTTGGTAGTCTGTCCTCAGTCCTTCTCTGTATCTCAGCTGTGCGTCACATGTCGGGTACCGCGAGTCCTACTCCTGCCCGTATACCGTCGAATCGTGTGCCGCTTGTTCGTTCAGGTCACCGTCTAGCGCCGGATTTCTACTCACCGGCAAGCGTCAGTCATATATTATGCTATCTACCGCGTGCACGTCAACGTATTATCACAAATCAATCACGAAGTGCCTCGAACATGCGGACGGCGTGACGAACGCAGGCAACAGTGCACGCCGTTTTGTTGATACGTTGAGTTCTGTGTTCAGGCCGGGAAGGCCGCCGCGTCCTTCCTCGGTTTAGGATCGCGACTGCGATTTCGCGCAAAACTGCCCCTCCTACCGATTCATCCTTCGGCGTGCGTAACGCGAGTTGTCGCGAAACGATGACTTAGAGAGCGACAAATACTGTCAACAGAGAGTGCGAAGCTTCCGGCCAAGTAAGAGGAAGAGACGAGAAGGAATCGGAGAATTTACGCACGACGTGTGCGTGTGAAAGAAAACCAGTGTTCCCGTTTCTGCGAGTGTTCCTTTTCTTTTTTCTTTTCTTTTCCGATAAATATTCGATCGATTCCTTCGTGGATAGAGAATCGCGTCTAGGGTCGCGCGTGACGCTACCTTCTCGTTGGCGCGATACGAGATTTACTTCCGGTTCGTTCGCTGCGTAACGCGTATATGCTTTTCAACGCGAATCTCGCGGACGGCGATCGAAGAGTGAGAGTTCTCAGATGATCTACACGAGAGACGAACTCTCGCGCGAGACACGTTCGAGAACGATCCGGTAGACGACGGTGTTTCGCTCTGAAACGGTATCGAGTGCGTGAGAATCCTTATCGAACGTTCAATCGATACGACCGAAATCGAGAGCCGCCGAGAGATTGTTCAACTCTTAGACAACCACGAATAATGTCGACGGGCAAGAGGCTGGCGAAACGTAGTATTATCGGCACCAGAGTGTGTGCTCCCGGTGAGGACGGGAAGTACTACAGTGGCGTCATTCACGCCGTGAAAACGCCGGCGTCAGCCGCGTCCGAGTCAGGCCTCAGCATTACACCGAAGACTCGCTACTCCGTGCGCTTCGACTCTGTGCCAGGCGGTCGGCCGCCGAGTCCCAGCACCGAATACTCTGACCGCGACCTGATCGGCCCTGGCTTCGGCTCCGTCACCAGCGCGCGCCTCGTACCCGGCCAGAAGGTTTATCTCACGTACAACGGACGAGAAATTCACGCAGAGGTCACGCAACACCGCGAGCATCTCGACGAGGTGGACGTGATAATTGCGCCGACCGGCCAAGAGGTAAGCCAGTTTTCTGTTACATTCTCTCTTTTATTTTGTGTTTCATTTCGCGCGCGTTCCGGTAAACCGGCGGGATCGGCAGCGCGTATTCTGCTGTGGGGGAGGGGGAGGGGGGGCCGGGTAACCCTCGAGCGGCGGATGTGACGCAGCTATTTTTAAACATGGTGCTTGCTGTCTTCGACGACAAATCTGTCGCCTCGTTTATTCATTTTTCAGTGCTAACATTTCGGTCGGGTCGGAAAAATTTTTTATACCTTTGTATTTTCAAATTGTTCGATATATCGCCAGCTCTCAAGTTTGTGAGATGTGATTCACGATGTGAAGGAAATAGTCTTCGCAAAGGAAGAAAGTGGGAGGAGAATTAGGTTTGAAGCTTTGCTCTTTATTTGCATAACGCTGTAACGCGCTACGTTTTTTTCCTGTTCTCGGAAGAGATGTTCG